GTTCATGCGTGTCCTTTCCTCGGGTCCTTTCAGCAGGGAATGGCAGTGAGACGCAGGTGAGGCACTTTCAGAGGTGGTGCGGTGTCTCTAACATAGAACAGCGTTTAGAAGTTGGCTTAAAATGTGAAGTTAAGATTAGTGACAGCACTAGCGCTCCTTCCTTCTTGAGGATGCTTTATGAGAAGAGAAACTTTAGAAGCCAACATGGGCTTGTGGTCACAAGAGTTAGATTTGTGTCTAAAATGTGTTTGCAAAAGTCAATAAAATTGGCTGCATTTACATTTTCTGAGCTCCTCCCAACTCCTTGGAGCTAAAAAAGATGTTGCAGAAAAAGAAAACAAAACTTGCTTCCATGCAGACTTTGTAATTTAATTCACAAAGACAGTGACCAAGAACTACTTGTGCCTCAAGGAAGATGCTACTAGCCTTTGGAGAAACACGTTTACATGAGCCAGTCCTTCAAAAAGAAAGTGACTAGCTTGCTGCCTTTGAAGATTTCAATATTTACTTTCTTGAAGGTGACCAACATGATCTTTGTCTGCCCCTTGTATAATTCAGGCACTTCAAAAACAAGACGGAGCTTTATAAAATTCAATTTGGTATTCCAACTCAGAAATGCATTATTGGTTCCTTGAGGAAAACAATTTATGTATGGACAGGTGCTATTTTCTTTACCTCTGCACAGAGTTTCCTCCTAGGGCTTGGATATGCTAAGTGAGTTTGCACAAGAAAATGAAGGCAGAGGCTTGCAACCTCAATTACATAATTTATTTATTCAATGTACCAGTTTCTGAAAGGTAGGACAAACATGTGTTTTCTATTTTAAGAGGAGGTTTACAGCATAGAAGCATTGTTAATTCCAGGTAAACTTTAAAGGATCTTCCTGATCCTTTTTTTTCCAAATCTCCTACTATGATGGGGGAAGGGTATACATATAAGACAGAGGAAAGGATCTGGTGACACTTGTACATCTGTAGGATATTATATTCTGTAGGATATTATATTCTCTTTAACAGGCAATTGTTTTGTAATCCATCTCTTTAATTATGAAGGATATCATTTTTTCCACTTAACGGTCAGCATGGTGATTACATATACAGTAATAACCTTCGTGTTAAACCTGAAATTATCCTGAAGCTATGGTTATGCACACCACATGTTAACTCTGCTCATACAGATGAGCATATATAAAAAAGCTGACTTACTATCCTGTAAATGTGACTGTACAAAATTTCCTTGACTGCATCAAATCACTGGGCACCATAAAAATTCAATATCCCAGATTGTTTTTCAGGTAAGAAAAAAAGGGATTCCCATTTTGAGCTGGAGTAATACATGCGATTTTTTTTGCACTGTTTCATTGTGTAATCTGATCAGATTATTTCTGAAATCCATTTTGTTTGAATTTTTCTAGGCGACATTGATCAGCAAGAGATGGCTTTTCCAAGCATGAAGAGTGCTGTTCTGGTGGATGGGGTTGTACTGAATGGTCCAACCACAGATACAAGAGCAGGAGAAAAATTTGTCGAAGAGGCCTGTAGGCTAATAATGGAAGAAGTGGTTTTGAAAGCTACTGATGTTAATGAGAAGGTAAAAATTAAAATCTATAAGGAATTCCAGAAGTGGAAAGGATAGATTTCCCCCTCCTGGTTCCTATGGCTGTGTAAAAAGAAAGTGAAAAGTACAAACTTTCATTTCCTTTGTACTGTTGTCTCAAAGCAATGTGCAGATACGAGTTGGGGTCATTTTTCTGCCTGGCCCCTGCCAAGAGTTTATGTTCATGGATAGTCACTATTCACATTATTAGGAGTTTAACCAACTAGGCCAGGAAGTATGAGGAAGAAGCTCCTGGCCTTTGGTAATCATTTAGATCACAAATAATCCATTGCTGTGATCTATGCACTCTCTGAAGTACTTTGCTCTGCATTTTCTTATGCATATTTTTTACTATTCTTTACAAAGCTCCAAGACGCAGGTGTTATTTACTACTTCCATTTTAAAGATGAGATAGATAGTGAGGGATGAAGTAGGCAAATATTTTGTCCAAAATATCACACTGGTGAGCATCATAGCTAGGTCTAAAATCTAAGCAGTCTGGCATCCAAATTTGCACTCAAGTTCTTTTTCATATGCCTCTAAGAGTCTATTATGTTTTATTGCATTGATGATTTTTCATGTTGGAATTGTATTCTCAACTAGTAAATCTGTGGGAGAGAGAGTTCTCCTCAACTGTATTAATAGTAAATAAAAGTCATTTTAAAGCATTTCTAGTATGTTGTTACTTATTCAGAATGTTTAGTCACATGCATTTGAGAAAGCTGTTAGAATGGACTGGCATTACCTGTGATCGTGGCGTTCCAGGCCGAACATTAAAAGGTATTTCTTATCTATGCACATTGTATGTGTATAATTCCATTTTTTTCTGGTATCTTGAAATTTGTGAAATACTTTGGACCTGGTTTGCTTTGGAGCAGACCACTCTTCTGGCAAGTTGTTTTAAATTGGCCTTTATTCTGTCATTAAATATTTATGGAGCATTAGCTACTGGATAGGCCTTATATTCAGCCCTAGAAGACATAAAGAAACACAAGATAAAGGTCCAATTTTGATCAGAATTTGTAATCTAACTTAGAAAGTAAGTTTTCAATGGTAAAGAGACCAGAGGGTCGCAGTGAGAATGTGATAAATGTTGAGAGTTTGAGGAGCACTTTTGTAATTTCACAGAGGAGTGAACATTTTGAGCTTTGATGTATCACATAAACATTACATAAGATTTGGGTGGGCAGAGAAACATAGGATGAGACCCTCATTTCTAGGGGTGTTAAAGAAAGTAGAAATGTAAATAATGGACAGATCATTTTTAAAGGGCAAGATTTATGTAATACAGCAAGAAGGCATTTCTTACTTTCAGAAGAGCTCCCTCAGGGGACTGACTGGACCTAAGAAGAGAGGGTGGATTGGAATCTTTTACCAAGGAAGCAGCCTCCCAGTCATTCTAGGTGGTGGGTGTGCAGGTTGTCTGCCCCTTTGAAGGTGTAGTGAAAGCCCTTTGGGACTCGCTAGGGAGGTGCTTTTTATACCACTAACTTAACCTCCTTATGTGAGGCTCAACCAGACACCATTAGTAGGTAGAAGACAAATGACTTCACACTTAGTGAGAGGATTACTTCTAGTGCCCTCTCCAGTAGATACACTTCTTCAACCACTTGTTTTAAGAAACAAACTGATTTGTAATTCATATTCAATAAAATTTCCCCGTTTCACTCAGTTCTGTGAGTTTTGATGTGTATAAGAAACCCTCACCACAATCGAGATTCACGACAGTTCCGTCTCCTCCCAGATTTCCCAGTGCCACTTCTGTAGCCATCCCCTCCCCACCCTACCCTCTTATCGCCTGAACACCTCTCTGTTTTTTGGCCCCCATGGAGTTTGTCTTTTCCAGGATGTCATGCAGATGGAATCAGTCATATGTAGCCTTTGAGACAGCAATTTTCCTTCATAAAAATCCACTGGCGATTCTTCCATGTTGTTGAGTATATCTGTGGGTTGTCTCAGGCATTTTTGAATTACCTCTGCCTGTTAAAGATACAGCACCAGAATTTAATTTCATACTTCTCACACAACTTGATATTTACCTCCTGCACATACATCCAAAACTTCCCACCTCTCGGTTTTCCCAAGCCCTTGCTATTAGGAAATAGCTGTAGTCTCTCTCCTCCTCTTCACAACTGAACTTTAAAAAAACCAGAAAACAAAAAAACCCTGTCTCCTTCCTCTCTCTACTTCTTTACCTCCCGTATTCTTACTTCACCACAATCTGGCCTCTGCCTCCATCCCTCTCAGCAAACTACTCATGCTAGGAACACCTCCCTGTTGATGACTTCCATGAACGTCTCAGTCTTCAGCTGCTTTGGCTTCTTATAAGTATTCAGCAGTAGCAAACATCTTCTGAAAACATCCTTTGCCCTTGATTTTGGTGCCACCAAAATCCTCCTAGGATTTCCCTTCTACTCTGGCCTGTTTCCAACCTCTCAGGCAATCTCCTATGCCCACTGATCTTTCCTAGGGGTGTCCTATGCCTTCTGTTCCTCCATGCAGGCTCCCAGAGATATGTTATCTATCCATTGTTAGATCATAGTGTAGCCTGGTACTCTGTCCTTGATTTTTCATTTAAGCTTCAAATAATCATTATACTCAGGTTAGATGTTCTTAAACCAAATGTGCTCAAAATTCATCATCTCTATCCTGCCCACACTGAGAATTTTCTCGTGTTGTGCCATCTCCTCCTGTAGTCATCATATCCTGTGTCCAGCATAAAATTCACAGCATCATCCTTGGCTCATTCCTTATTCTCACCTTCAACATCTATTGATTCTGTATTTACATCTAGTAACTATGTACATCATTTCTATAGCACCTACCTTCATCCAGACACAACCTTATATTGCTCAATCTATTATAGTTAGGTCATATTTGTGCTTTTATTTAGAATTTCTACAAAATTGTTGTCTAAACTATAGATATGACCATTTCATTCCCTAACCTAAACACTTCAATAACTTTCTTAGAGCCAACTCAAACTCAGTAACATGATCCATAAAGCCCACTATGTTCTAGCTTTATCTCTTCACTTATTCTCCATTTATTCAACAGATCTTCATTGAGAATTTATTAAATAGTAGGCTTTGGGTTAGGTACTTGGGATAAGTGAATGCAGACCAAGATCTCTACTCTCATGGAGGCTACATAGAACATGGTAGATAAGTATGGATAAAATACCTTGGAACATAGGTAAGTGCTACAGAATAAAAAAGAGTAGAGAAAGGTTGAGGAGATGCATAATGATTGGGTAATGGACAGGTAGTAATTTTAAGTAAGGGATTAGGGATTGCTCTCATTGAGAAAGTGACGTACTTGAGCATAGCTTGGAAAAAAAATCAAAGTAGCTAGCTATGAGAATATTTGGGTGAGCAGCGTTGTAGGGAGAGAACCCTCCCATGCAGAGTACCTCAAGTAGGAGCAGGCTTCATGTATTCAAAGAACAAGAAGGTGAGTCAGAAAGGAGGTAGATAGTGCTAGATGGAGACTAACAAGGAAACACAGTCAGGAAAAAAGTATTGTACAGGATCCCTTTACAGCCTTATAACTTCATCTTTACTATGAAGTGGAGAGCCTTTGGATGTATCTGAGCAGAAGAATAGCCATAGCTTAGGTAGAAGAGAACCATGCTGGCTGGCAAAGTTGATAAACTATAGGAAGCTATTTTAGTATAAAGCTGTACTTGCTATTTCACTCTTCCTCAAAATTTGTGTTCTAGCCACACCACATGTACCTAATTTTTCAGAAGTATCCCAGGTTTCTTTGGTTTTCAGCATTTTTTACTTTCGTTACTTGCACCTGGAATAGCCCTGGTATCATCTCCCCCCTTGACCTTTGCTTGACTTACTCTATTTTTATTTAGCACCCAGACTTGCTATCTATTGTTTCATCTGGGAAATACTTAACCATGCCAATGGAGGATGCACCCTTCACTTGTGGCAGTAACATCTGCCTCCCGCTCATAGCTCTTCCCATGCTGAAGTACGGTTGCACAGTTAGATCTCGGGACCCCCACTTCTCTCGGAGCTTCCTAAGATGCACGTCATGCTTTATACCTCTCAGTCCCAGGCTCTGGTGGGGACCCCATTAATTGCAGATTGTTGCTGAATCCCCAGGTGTGTGAATGGCGGCCTCCTGAACAGCTGAAGCAGCTTCTTGACTTGGAGATGAGAGACGCAGGCGAGCCCCATGACAGGTTGTTGAAACTCTGCCGAGATGTCATACACTTCAGTGTCAAAACTAGTGAGAACTTTAATTTACTTCCTTGTTGTATACCTTTGACAAGTTCTTGCATTTTTAAAGCGTTTATTTACCTCTTAAGGAATTTGGCATGATAATGTTTATGGAAAGAGAAGTTTTTTTATGAATTAAAAAAAAAGTAGCGTTTCTGATGTTTCTATCATGGTTCATTTAATCCAAATTTGTTGTCGAGGCTAAAGATAAATTAATAGGAAAACTCATGGTGTGGTGTAAATATTATCTATTCCTTGCCAATTTCAATCTGCATTTATAAGGAAGACTGTGCATTATCACTGCTGCTTATCATTTCTTTAAGTTCCTTCAAATTGGAAAATAGTATTTTAATTATATGAACTTGCTGAGGGATTTTAAATCTTTGTGGACCAGAATGCACAGAACAACAAACAAACAAAAACCAAGAAGATATACTTAATATAAATAAGATAAGATTTATTTGGGGGACAATGATTAACTCAGCATTTACTAACTACCAGATTGTGTACCAAGTCTTGCAGGATCAAAGATAAAAACCTTCGCGTAAATATAAGAAAAATAAATATATAGTAAGTTTGGCTGTAATTTTTCACACTAATGCCATCATCTCTATAATCATTTATAAATGCAGTGATGTGGTGCCAGCCATATGCTGAAGTAATTTTATTTTGACTATTAATATCTGTATACACAGGCTGCAAAGGTGGAAGAATAACTTGCCAAAATAAGCATTTCTTAGTCTGATGTGAAAGTAATCTAGTGCTTAAAACCATGCAGACATTATACTTTGTGAATTCTGACACTGGACTAAATTTAGTGGAAAGAACATAATAAAATCCTGGCTAAAAATAATTGGATTATATTCCCTTGGGAAAGTCTGGCATATGTATCAAAACTCAGTTAACATTTCAAAAGCAGAGATACATATCTTATTATTGTAGTGTGTGTCAGAAGTGTAGAATGACATTTAACGCAGTAGATTTTTCAGTTTACTGGATATTTTCCATAATGTTACCATGGAAATCAATCATAAATTAACACAGTACTAAAAACATCTTATTAAAATTACTTGTAGCAATGTCTGGTTTCCTTTGCCAGATCAGAGGAAGTTTTCCATGTTTTAATTGAAAAGACATTTTCTTTTGAGATTTTTTTTCTTATTAAACTCATAGTTTAAAGAGGCCAAAAAAAAAAAAAAAAAAATCCACACAAACTAAATCCTGTAAGTTGTCATGACAGAAATGATTCCCAAATACCTAAACATGGAAATCAACCTCTTGTCTCTTTGTTGCTTGTCATGCTGGGCTGCCTTGGTTTAGAATGTCAAGACAGATAGCCCGGTGCTGGGTGTGAATATTCACACTGTGTAAGACCAAGGGCCTTACGAGATCTGTGTGAGAAAAAGCTGTGTAGAGTTGGAACTCAAAATCATTTGAGTGTTAAAGGGGACTGCGTTTGAAGTGAGCCGCATGGTGAGTCACATCTCACTCTGTTTACATAATGTATCACACTGTCCAGTCTGAGAACTGTGAAGACTGCGCACAGCCCATAGCCTGCGGTGAACCCTGCTGGTGAGGAAGATGCATTTGAAGTGAGGGACATTTTCAGTCAGAGTTTCAGAAGATGAAGGCAGCAGGCTTTGAAACTTGGAAAAAGCAGTGTTCAGATCTATTTCTCAGGAGTTCAGGTTGGATGCAAATTATTGAAACAAGCAGTTGGCAAGTCAGAGCTCTTATGAGGATGCTCACGTTTTGCAGAGAAACATTATTTACTAAAAAGGACTATGAAGAAATTATAACATTTTTGTTATACAAATCATATTTGGATTTTTTAAATTGAGGTATAATCTACATTCAATTAAAATTCATAAATATTAAACACTCACTCCAGTGAATTTGTATGTATCTGTACATTTAAATCACCATCCAGACAGGACTCTGATGATTTCTAGCAGCCCAGAACATCCTTAAGCTGCCAATCAACAGTTCCTTTCCCAAGGTACCCAGACTTCTAACTGCTATCTCCATCAGTGGCTTTGCTGATCCTGAATACATATAAATAAACATGCCTTGTGTATTTTTTAATGTCTGGTTGATTTCATTGCTAGAAAGAATTACTTATGTCATTGTTATGCCAATAGTTTTTTTCTTTTTATTGATGTATAAATGAAGACTTTGTTGTAAATTTACAGACCACCCAAGATTTTTCAACCAACTGTATGCGGGATTGGATTATTACTCCCTGGTGGCCCGATTTATGACAGAAGCATTAAATCCTAGTGTGTAAGTGTCATGCTACTGCAATTTTCCACTGAATATGGACTAGAGATGTTTCTTAAATAGATGAAACTTCATTTAATGAATTTGTATTTAGTGATTTATTTTGCATAATATGATTATTAATAACAGAATAATTTTATGACACTTAGTAGTATTCACAGAGCTGTTTGATTTGTAGAGTGGTCCTGGGAGATAACAAGGGAAGCTTTGTTATCTCATTTAACAGATGAGAAAATTGATTAAGCAACTTCTCATGCATAGCTGCATGAAGAGCCATATCGGTATAACTGCTGGAGAGAGGTTTTGAATAATAAACCTTGAATCTGCTCTTGTGAAGCACAAAATCTAGTAAGAGAAAAAAAGAAGCAAGCCACAATGGTCTTAGCATAAAATTCAGACTCTTGCATGAAGTAGATGTGCAGGATACTATAAATATAAGCAGGGAAAGTTTTCCAAGTTAGGAGCTCAGGAGAGTCTTCTATGAATAAGTTAGTTTAGAACTAAAAAGTCAGTTAGGTGAAAATGGGAGGGACCAGGTCCAGGCAGAAGAAATGACATGTAAAGTGGCCCTGTGGTAGAAGGTAGCTTGACATACTCTAATGAACTGAACAAGTCCTGTAGGTGTGGCTGACAGAGCTACAGGGAGTGTAGTAGCAGATAAGGCTGACAAGATAGAAAACGAACTTGCAGGGGCAAATACTGTGCTTTTTCTACACAATTGATAAAGCCCTTGAATATTCCAGAATTATCAAGTGACCTTGGTATTTAAAAGCTTACTGAAAATCTAGAGTAGATTGGAGTTAATGATTAAGGGGAAATTTCCTTAGGTGACAGGTAGTAGTAGTTTAGATAAAGATGGAAGTGGAAAGAATTGTTCGAAAGATACAGCAAATTATTGTATTCTGGGCCTTGGAAATGAAGGGGGAAGGAAGATTTTAAGATAATGCTGATGCTTTAAGCTTATGTAGCTTGGTTTATTGTTATGTCATTCATCAATGTAAATAAAAAGGTAGAGAGGACTGGTTTTCAAGTATGCAATGGAGAAGGCAAGATCAAAAATTTAATTCTCAGTTATGAACATTTGAGTTTGTAATGGCTCTGAAACAATCACATGTATCACCTAATGTGAAAACTATATAGGCCTGAAATTTTGTTATCTATGGGAATGGTATAAATTTAAAAGTTACTGGCAGCATGATGGTAATTGCAATGGTGGGTGTGGACAAGCTTCCCTGTGTCAGGGATTTTCAACCCTGCTTGCTCATTAGAATCAACCTGGGAACTATAAAGAATTGATGTATAGGCCCCAACCTGGACTAATTAAATATTCATTTCTGTGGCTATTCCCCACTTACTGATATATTGACAAAGCTCAACGAATGATTTTAACACATCTCCATGTTGGAGAACCACCATTATACAAGGCCAGAGAGGCTGGACAAGAGGGCTCCATGCCGGGCTGCGAGGAGTACAACATTATATTGAATAGGAGAAGGAGGAAAGGTCAGGAGAAAATCAAGGCTGCAGACATGAGAGCCACAGAGGGCAGTGTGTCTAATGTCACATGTTGAGCAGATAACAAGTACGAAAACTTAATAGTACCCAATGGATATGGATATCATTGACCCATGATGGGCATAGGCACTAGTCTGCAATGGGTAAGAAGAATCAGGAGGTAAGCCAAAGAGGATAGTAAAATTACACAGCTGTTTGAACCTTTCCTTAAGAATGATAGGTTTTTTAACTTTTCATCTAGGCTATTGAATCTGAAACACTTAGAGGTTTTTGAAATATTGCATTGTTGGGGCTGGGGAGATAGCTCAGTCGAATAAGCACTTGCCTGGCAAGCACAAGGTCCTGAGTTCAATCCCCAGTACCACCAAAAAAAA